GGCCATTCTTGCAGTAGTAAGGTGGTATCTCATTGTGGTTTTAATTTGCATTTCCCTGACAATTAGTGATGTTGAGCATTTTTTTTCATATGTTTGTCGGTCATTTGTATATCTTCTTTTGAGAATTTGTCTATTCATATCCTTTGCCCACTTTTTAATGGGATTATTTTTATCTTGCTGATTTGAGTTTGAGTCAGTTCCACAGGCTTAATAGGAAACATGACTAGGAGGCCTCAGGAAACTTACAATTATGGTGGAAAGCAAAGGGGAAGCAAGCACGTCTTACCATGGCAGAGCAGGAGGACTGAGAGAGTGAGGGGGGAACTGCCACACACTTTTAAATCATTGTATCTCAGGAAAACTCATTCACTATCCAGAGAACAGCAAGGGGGAAATGCGCCCCCATGATCTAATCACCTCCCACCAGGCCTCTCCTCCAACATGTGAGGATTACAATTTGAGATGAGATTTGGTTGGGGACACAGAATCAAACCATATCAGGTGTATAGGTTTCTATTCCTTTCTCCATGTGCATACCAACATATGTGAACCTATATACAGAGAGGTGTTTAATTACAAAAATAAACATGATTTTGTGACTTTTTTTCACCTAAATATAACGAATAAACTGCAAGCCAGCAGAGATAGATCAAATTCATTCTTTAAATTGCTGTGTGTTTTTCCAACTACAGACCCTGCTGTGACTCACTTCCTAAGAGGACTTCACTTGCCGTTTGCTGCAACAGACCTGCTGGCCTCAGAAAACCTTTAAGGGGCTCTCTAGTGAAGGGCTTTCCAATCTTGTAGTTGGGAAGGAACTGCTGCTTGAGACTGAAAAGGTCTGGGAGTTAAACAGCTCCTCATAGAAAGTTATCAGATGGTAAGAGGTCTCACGGTCCATGAGAAATGAAGCCACCGCATCTCTTACCACTTAGTTTGCTACTGCCCAAGAGATGTGCACAAGGTGCTGGCAGATGCTGAGGAAACCACAGCGTGAGTAGGCCAGGAAAAGTTAAATTCATTTATGGGGCATGGGAAGAAAGAAGACCGGCGGAACAGAAATAAGACAGATGTCTACTGAAGCAGAACCAATGGAAAAGACAGAGGAGAATTTTAATGAAAAATATCATGAATTATAGAATTAAAAAAAGAAAAGATTTTCAGAAACTAAAAAATACCACGATTTCTTAATTAAAAGTTCAACATCCAACAGAAAAAGAGAATGACTGACTTTGAAAATAACATTAGTGGTCAAAAAAATCGCTGGAGGAAATACCTCATAAGAGACCCAGTGCAGATAACCTGAGGGAAAAGACAAAGCTGCATGGAGGTCAGATCCAGGAGGCCAACTAAAGAGGAAAGGAACATGAGAATAGTAACATAGATAATGGAATAAAACATTTACAACTTAGAAAGTCTTGAGGCCCTGAATATCAAAGTTAAAGGGAAAATCCTGCAGATCTTTTAGTACTGTGGGGAAATGGGCTTTCTGGCTCAAGGACCTCACTGACATTGAATTTATGTCATATACCAGGTAAGCCCAATGTGTGTACCTAATGCTTCACACGGAAACAGTATTAAGCAGAGATTGTTAAATTCTAGCATTCAGCAACTTTCCTTTGTCATGTTGTGTCACTAGGAGCTAAATACCAACCTTAGGAACTCTGTGGTAGTCTTTTCATCCACAGTCCATCTAAAGCTGCAGGCACCAATTTTTAAATGCCATAAGCACAAATTATTTTGGTAACAATAAAAAATTAAAAATATGAGAAAGGAGGTATTCAAGGGTAAGAAATGCATTACTGTTAAAAGAAACCACTATCTTTATTTATGAAATGGATACAGAGGTAGTATGGTGAGAGATAAGAGCAGAGCAGAGACTCTGGATGTCTGCCACTTACTAGCTGTGCGACCTTGGGCAAGTTACCTAACCTTTCCATGTCTTAGTTTCCTGAAAATTAAACAAGTTAATATATTATCACAAGTATTAACTCTGCAACATAGCAAGTGCTTAATCAATCATAGCAGCGCTGCTGCTGGGCTGCTGCTACAGTGGGAAAACAGCACTGTACATAGAACTTTAATATTGTAGACTTGAATTTAAATGCCAACTTTAAACTTAAGTTTCATACCACAGCCATAGTAGTTAACCCTTTTTGCTTATATTTTTCATATCTAAAACAGGAGTATGAATACCTGCTTCTTTCAACATCTGTCCATCTATCCACAAACATCAACTGAGTACCTAGATATTTATATGACTAAGATACATTTCAGCCCTTAAGGAGCTTACAGTTTAGTGAGTAAAACTCAAGAGCTTTGCTTTCCTTTCATGTGGGCATTTCTTGAGGCTCCCTTTGTGTTAGGAGATAAAGAAACGGCTGCAAGGGTCAGGTATGTTTTTAGTACCATGAGTACTACGATTTTTTTAAAAAGTGACACTAATCTTGTCAGCAATTGTTGGGTAAAAAATGTGGCCAGTTCTGACACTCTGTATTTTGCTATTTTAAGAAAAATACTATGAAGCAATTGGGTCACTAGAAAGTAAGCATCTGTGGATGATACGACAGTCTTAAAAGTGAAGGGATCAGTGGGGACCAGGCCCTCAACTCTGATCAGGAAAGAGCATAAAACATCTTAAAGAGATATGTCTGTTCATAGGCTGGAACTGTGTAGTTCAAAACCTGCCTTTTCTAGAGATCTTTTAAGACCTGAGTGTTCCTTTGAATTAACAGCTCTAAAGTCATTGTCCAAGAGGAGTCATTATTACTTGATCCTTTGTAAACCACGTCCATCCCCTTTTAGAGTATCCTGCCTTGGCACACACAGTGGGAGATTATAGCAAACAAGTTCTTTGTCAACTTGGACAACTTCATCTCAATACTAAAGACCTTATTTTAAAGCTTCTTGATGTTAAGAGTGCTTATTTTGATCATCTCCATGTGAGTTGGCCATGGAAAGGTGGGATAAGTTGTTCTCCTTTAATCTTTTATTTAACTAAGGGACTTCAGAATGCCTAAAATAATAATAATATCAGATAATCATTAGTATAAAATGAATAAAAGAGACTACAAATTGAAGACAGCCTGAATGTCTGTTCTTTATAAAGAAACAATGCATGACCATGTTTTCACCTGTCATTAGCAGCTGGTATTTAATAGCTGTGACTTAAAACTTAGTAGCTTTAGAAAGTATGTAATTACACCATTATTAAAAATTAAAATTAAGAATATTTTACTTTATTACATTTATATATTGCCACAATATAATCAATTATATACATTATTTAAAATCAAATTGGCAAAGACTTACTACAAATTCACTTGAATGGTGGCTACAAACATCACAAAGAATTAATCGGACTTCTATGTGTATGTGTGAGAGAAAAATTCTAAAAACCAATTTACTTTTAAAAGAAATTAAACCAGAGATAAATAAGAATTATCCAACAAAAAGGAAAAGTAACAACTATCCTATTTTAAAGTTTTAGTTAGATAAATTATGTTTCAAAAATCTTTACATAAAAACTCTAATACTATCACCCATAAATCATAAAATATAACTGGTAGTATATTTATTTTTTTACCCAATCACATTTTAGATTCATAATAAAAATCTACTACTTAGAGAAAATAAATCTGACAATTTATTCAAACATTGTTACATACGAAGTTTTAAGAAACTGTAAATAATTCTTAATACTCTCATTTTGATTTTCTGACTTCTCAAGACTATTTTGTACTTCTTTCAAACACACTTCCTGATGTTGTGCTTTCTAAAGAAAAAAAAGGAAAAAAATACAGATAAGCAATAATAGCATTCATTCCAAAGGAGCAGAGTCATAATATTAAAAACATATATACAATAACTAGATAATTCTTTTTGATTTTTTAAAAGAATACTCACATCTGATGTGTTCATTCTTAGAGCTCACTCTTCTTTAAAATTAATAATTAAAGCACACATATGGTTGATTTTCACTGATATAATTTATAATACACATTCATTTAGCACCAAATTATTACATATTTAACATAATTAACTTAATAGGTTCTTTAACAACTGTTATAATTTCACATGTAACATGATACATTTTCATACCAGTTTTTGCCATTTTCTGTCTAAAAATTCACATTTTATTCCAAAATAATTAAATGTCTTAAAAGTTGACAGAACTCTAGTTTTGATAATGTGAACATTTTATTTCTAGAATCCCTTAAAAAATAAAAATAATTCTTCACATTAAAGTTGTTCTTTGAGGAAAAAATTTAAAACTGCAATACATTTTTTTTTTAACTAAGGTGCATATGAATTCTTAAGTAGGTGAGTTCACTGACAATGCTTTAGATAACCACAGGTTGCAAATATCATCTAGCTTCCAATTAAAATATAGACACCTAGACAGAAAAGAGAGAACTTTTACATCCTTCATATCAGGTGTTCAATGACACCTGATACATTCTGAAACTGAGCAATGCCCATCTCAGGAAATGGGGCAGGTAAAAAATAATGTGATAGGCTTAGCAGTACAAAGTCACAGGATAAATACAATGAGTTTTACTCAAAAATTTGGAAAGAAAAATAGTAACACTTATTTTGTAGGGTAGGATATAAAATGTCAATGGATTTTAGGATAATACATAAGACTTCAAAGACATTTCAGGCTTCAGGAGGGGTGCCTTGGATTAAGCTGCTGAGATCATCCTCAGATCTGTACATCCATTCTGTGCCACCCCATTAGGGTACTTGGACAGAAAATACAAAAAGGCCTGCAGGTGAGCAGGGCACTGTGGGAGACACCAGGGATAAAGGCAACTACGAGACATGCTCTCAGAGTGCTTACAATTCAAATGGGGCTAAAGCAGGCATATTAAATACTGCCCACTTAACTGTCCCCTGGAAGGCATAAAACACACAAACTAATTTTTCAGCAATGTTTAAATCTATGCTTAGAATTCTAGAATTTTACTAGTACAAAAATTATCAGGTTTAACAAAACATCAGATCTTTATTTTTTATTATTATTATACTTTAAGTTCTGGGATACATGTACAGAATGTGCAGGTTGGTTACATAGGTATACACATGCCGTGGTGGTATGCTGCACCCATCAATCCATCCTCTACATTAGGTATTTCTACTACTGTTATCCTTCCCCTAGCCCCCCATGCCCTGACAGGCCCCAGTGTGATGTTCCCTGCCCTGTATCCATGTGTTCTCATTGTTCAACTCCCACTTATGAGTGAGAACATGCGGTGTTTGGTTTTCTGTTCTTGTGTTTGTTTGCTGAGAATGATGGTTTCTAGCTTCATCCATGTCCCTGCAAAGGACATGAACTCATCCTTTTTTATGGCTGCATAGTATTCCATGGTGTATATGTGCCACATTTTCTTTATTCAGTCTATCACTGATGGGCATTTGGGTTGGCTCCAAGTCTTTGCTATTGTGAATAGTGCTGCAATAAACACATGTGTGCATGTGTCTTTAGAGTAGAATGATTTATAACCCTTTGGGTATACACCCAGTAATGGGATTGCTGAGTCAAATGGTATTTCTGGTTCTAGATCCTTGAGGAATCGCCACACTGTCTTCCACAGTGGTTGAACTAATTTACACTCCCACCAACAGTGTAAAAGCATTCCTATTTCTCCACATCCTCTCCAGCATCTGTTGCTTCCTGACTTTATAATGATCGTCATTCTAACTGGCATAAGATGGTATCTCACTGTGGTTTTGATTTGCATTTATCTAATGACCAGTGATGATGAGCTTTTTTTCATATATTTTTTGGCTGCCTAAATGTCTTGAGATGTGTCTGTTCATATTCTTTGCCCACTTTTTGATGGGGTTTTTTTCCTTGTAAATTTGTTTAAGTTCTTTGTAGATTCTGGATATTGGCCCTTTGTCAGATGGATAGATTGCAAAAATTTTCTCCCATTCTGTCAGTTGCCTGTTCACTCTGATGATAGCTTCTTTTGCTGTGCAGAAGCTCTTTAGTTTAATTAGATCCCATTTGTCAATTTTGGCTTTTATTGCCATTACTTTTGGTGTTTTAGTCATGAAGTCTTTGTCCATGCCTATGTCCTGAATGGTATTGCCTAGGTTTTCTTCTAGGGTTTTTATGGTTTTAGGTCTTACATTTAAGTCTTTAATCCATCTTGAGTTAATTTTTGTATAAGGTATAAGGAAGGGATCCAGTTTCAGTTTTCTGCATATGGCTAGCCAGTTTTCCCAACACCATTTATTAAATAGGGAATCCTTTCCTCATTGCTTTTGTCAGGTTTGTCAAAGATCAGATGGTTGTAGATGTGTGGTGTTATTTTGAGGCCTCTGTTCCATTCCATTGGTCTATGTATCTGTTTTGGCACCAGTACCATGCTATTTTGGTTACTGTAGCCTTGTTGTATAGTCTGAAGTCAGGTAATGTGATGCCTCCAGCTTTGTTCTTTTTGTTTAGGATTGTCTTGGTTATGTGGGCTCTTTTTTGGTTCCAAATGAAATTTGAAGTAGTTTTTTCTAATTCTGTAAAGAAAATCAATGGTAGCTTGATGGGGATAGCACTGAATCTATAAATTACTTTGGGGAGTATGGCCATTTTCATGATATTGATTTGTCTTATTCATGACCATGGATGTTTTTCCATTTGTTTGTGTCCTCTCTTATTTTCTTCAGCAGTGGTTTATAGTTCTCCTTGAAGAGGTCCTTCACATCCCTTGTAAGTTGTATTCCTAAATATTTTATTCTCTTGGTAGCAATTGTGAATGGAATCTATTTATTTTACTAACTTTAGCCAAGTACTAGGGCTATTACAGCAAAACCCACCTCATTTATTTTTTCAGAGGCTTCAATTACACAAAAAACAGCACACATATTTTACAATGTCAGAAACTCTAATGGTGAGTTTAAAAAAAAGTTTTGAAATAAATGGAAGGCCTGTGCTAAATTAAAGGTGATCGACATTTTGTTCTGATTAAGTTGTCATGAAACTTTTGATGGCAATAAAATCAAATTGTGCATGCCAAAAGTCATTTAACCCTTGAATCTTTCAGGTTTTCAACTTTTTAGACACTTGGGAATAAAAAAAATAGATTTAATGGACTCTCTGGATCCTGGAAAAAATACAGTATCATTATTCTCTATGTTATTATCTAGTAGATAGTTATTAAGTAATTTAATCATGAGTAATACTAGCTTTCAGAATATTCTATGCCAATTGACTATTTCATGCGTATTCAGGAAAAAAACAGAAGACTAATTGAACACAGTCAATTTGGTATTTTCATTTCTCGACTGAATGGACTAAAGTATCCATCTCACATGCATATCTAACAATACTGAATGTTTAATACAAAATTATAACTTTCTAAAATAAAATATTCATTATTCAAGACAGACATAAAACTCACTTACGTGTTTATCTTTAAAAAATGAAAAATTCATATCAGGATGAAATCAAGTAGATTATATCTGTAATTTTCATTAAGCAGTGGTCACTGCAAAAGTAACATGTAGGGAAAGGGCCTGATGAGATTTTATCAGATTTGAGGGCAATGCAATACATGCCATCCAAGGAGGCAGAATAATAAATTATTTGGCATATCATAACGTTTTTATTTTTTATGTTTTATATTGCTTGTTATTTTTAATATTATCAGTAAAACAATAGCCTTGATTCACTCGCTTTGTACTTTCTACATGGTAAGAATATTAAATGCTATTTTTTATAATATGTTAAGCCATGCTAATACTTACACTGTTCATTTTGTAAACAAGTTGATTTTGTTCTTCGTTTTTCTTTCTAAGCTCAGTTTCCAGATCTAATATTTTAATTTGTAAAGCTCTCTCTCTAGATGACATTTTCTCTATTTCTTCAGCAACCTGTAATTTTTATCAAAAGAGTAAAATAAAGTGCTTTCTTTAATATGATTTAAAGCCTTGACATAGTTATATTGTACCTTTTTTCTAAACATATTACTTGTATGTTATATCCACGTTTAAAGATGTTCTATCTTGAAGAAGCATATATAGTGTAAGTATGTACTATACTTATCTTCGCAGCATTAAATATCTGCAAAATTGGCTTGAGATGGAAGAGATGTATATATTTTCACTGCTCTGTGACTTAGGTAGGTGTTTTCTCCAACAGTATATTTTAAAAACAGACTGAGACCAGTTACCATTTTTATAGCATTTATATTCACCAGGGTGTTAAGAGCAGTGATGGAACATAGAAATTCCTTGTTAAATGCTCATTATACACTTGGATTAACAGAACTGGGAGTAGGAACTGGTATACACACTTCCTACAAACACACACACACACAAACACAGAGACTGGTTCTTCATTCGTTCACTTCCAAACTGGTCTGAATTTGAATTTTCATATTTACCTGATTACTTATTTTGGCAGGAAGTCTAGCTTAGTTATGTTCTTCTAAGGAATCAGATATGTGGAAGCCTATTTGTAAGAATGCTGGGTTGGAGCCACAAGAATGAGAGTAGAGGCAGGGATTGATCCAGGAACAAGGAGCTAGTGGAAAGGACTGTCCTCCAACCTAATTCCTATGAACTCAGTTCTAAGTTATTATAAAGATTTCTTCTGTACATATTCCAAGAACAATTATGCATGAGAGATGCCAGTGTGATCTGAAGCTATGGGAGAAAAGGCCCTTAGGACAAACACCAATGCCCTCGGCACCATCCCCTCAGTGTAGGCCATGGTAACAGGGCAGTGATGGCACTCTCACATGGGCAGAAGCTACAGATAGCCCCATATTCCACCGTAGCAGGAGAGAAAGGAGAGGGCAGACATACCTCTGGGACTCTGAACTCTTCCTTTCAGGAAGGAATCTGAGAGCATACCTGGCATTTCCAAAATGCACTTAGGCTGAACCCTACCAGATTATGAGAGTGCTGAGAGCTAAGGCCAGGTCTCATTCATCTTTGCATCTCAAGCACTAGCAGATTGCCTGATACTGAAGTATTCATTGAATGCTAACCTAATGGATGTAACTGAAATTTAATATTTTATGTATTTATTTATGCAACCATATTTGTCAAAAGGGACTTGAACATTACAGCTCACTGAATCCTGATCAAAACAAAAATGTTCAATTATTTGCACATTCAATTTGGTTGTATATAAAAAAAAGGTACAGGAGGAGATTATGTCTTCAAAGTGGTTTCCATCTCTGCCCTTTCCCCAGCCACATTACCATTTATCTAGTGAAGTAACTCTAGCCCAGCAATGTATCTGTTTTGCTTGAAAGAGAAGATAGTTAAAGAACAAAAATGTAATTGCTCCCTTCACCCTGTCATCAAGACAAAACAATAACTACTGGGTTGGCAAGATGTTTAAAAAGATGACTCTTTGGTAAATGAATTAAAAAGTTTCTAAATAAAGGCCATGCATACCTTTTGTCTACCTTCTTCTAAAGCGGCTTCCAGTTGTCTGGCCAATGCTGTATATTCTGCAGATTTCTCTTTAAACTTAAGATTGCTGTGCTTAAGACATTCTTCTTGGTTTGCCAGCTTCTTCTCAAGCTCTTTATTTTCTGTGTCCATCTGTTCTAATTTTCTTTTTACAGAAAACATATATTTCAAAAGTTTAGTGTGCAGGGAAATATGCAGCAGCAATGTTAAGTAATTTAATACTTACTGTTGAAGGTTTTCACACTTCAACTGAATAAGATAGTTTTCCTCTTCCAGAGAAAGCTTTGTCAGAAGACTGTGATTTCCATCAACCTAAAAGAAAAAAAAAGGTTTCTTAGTCATTTTCTTCACAATCAACTTCCAAAGAAATCCACACAATTTATTGTTAGACCACAAGCAATGAGAAGGTATAAATGTTACTACTCTCACACAGAAAGACACCAAGAAAACATTATATTGTTAAAATGGAAGTTTTAAATTCCTGGTTATATTTAAAGAAGATGTGTTGCCTGTGTTGGAAAATAATCAACTGAAAAAAATTCAGGATAATGGCAATTAAAACATTTTGAACAACACCTTATTGAAGAAAGGTATTTATTTTGTTAAGTTGAAATACGAAAATTTGAAGCAGCATTAATCTCCTATTTTTGGATACCTAGGGTTTCTCTTATGGTTTTCTGTTTCACCTAAAAATACTGATTAATAATTGAATATCTGTGAAGTTGAAACTGTCAGTAAAAAATATGTTTTTTTGAGAAGCAAAATGAAGTAAACAATCAAAGACACACTCGCCCATGCCAAGACAGAATATTCTTCCCACTGCTTCACAATCTGATCTAAATAATGTAAGAAGTTTTGATTTAAGAAAAAAATTTGTTTCTCATAATTTTAATTAGTAATTTAGGCTAATCTATGTCATCTGACATTTTACTAGAAAAATCTCTTTGAACTCTAAAATTTTGTCTGCATATTTCTATCTAACTTTTAAGTTCAGGGGTACAAATGCAGGTTTGTTACACAGGTCAACTTGTGTCATGGGGGTTTGTTGTACAGATTATTTCATCAACCAAGTATTAAGCCTAGTACCTATTAGTTATTTTTCCTGATCCTCTCCCTCCTCCCACTCTCCACCCTCTGAAAGGCCCCAGTGTGTGTTGTTCTTCTCATGTGTCCACGTGTTCTCATCATTTAGCTCCCACTGATTAAGTGAGAAAATGCAGTATTTGGTTTTTTGCAAATTTAGAATCCAGATTATATTTGGAAGATAGACAGGGAATGCTTCCTAAAACTGTCTTGAAAGTAAAAGAAAAAAGACTTGTCACCATCCTTGGACTGCTCCTTTAAAAAAATTTCATTAATTAAAAAAATATTGAGTGCTTACTATGTGCTAGGCATTGAGCTAGGAGACGGCTATGTGGCTACTACTAACAGGACACACATGATCCCTATTCTGATGGTATAAAAAGTAAAACAGAAAAAAAAAAAAAAACTGAAAAAAAAACCCCAAAAACTTGATGTACAATTCTAATTAAAATAAATTCTAATTTTTGTAAATTTCAATAATTTACCTTATCCTGACATCAAGGAACATATATGTAAGCATAACTTTGCTCCTTCTCTGATTCTATTACCATGTCTTCAAATGTCTATAGATTTGCATGAATAAACCAAAATAGGAATTTTAATTACCAATTTTTCACCATAAAATACTAAAAGAATAGCTTGCAAAACAGTATTATAGTATCTGCGTGAAAATGATGTTTTACAAACTAAGTAGATGGGAATTTAAAAATCAAGCTCTGACATGAGTGCCCTCAACTGGTGAAATCATTCCAAAGCATTCTTTTAACGCATTTAGCAAAACTCAGAAGGATGGCTGCACACCTGGCCCTGAAGCTCCCTAACGGTGTGTTCCTGGTCTGCACACTTCCCCTTGCAGCACTGCAGACTCTCCTGACACTCGTGAAGCCTCCGTTCAGCTGCCATCAAGGAATCGCAGACATGCTCTAACTCCTTCAGATGAGACTCCATCTGGCCTTTCATCTGAGTTGTGGCAGTAGGGAAATAAGTGCAAGATCACACATTCAGCATTAATATTTTTATTATCTTAAATACTAGATATGCTTGTAACACAAGTATTTTAGGTATAATGGCTTTAAATAAGAACACAACTGAATAAATATTAATTTAAACTCTGTTAAATAAGAATGTATAACTAAAAAGTGGGGTACACTTTAGTTTTCAAAAAGTTTATTGAGCACATAAATAGGGTAAATTAGCTGACAGGGTGGATGTTTAACTAATTTTTAAAAGCAAATTTTTAAAATCCTGACATTATATTCAAGCACAGATTATCACTAATAATCATTACTAATAAAGCTGTAGTTGTCTACTATCCAGCTATAGGTTCTAAAGGAAATGTCACTTTTAGTCATTCAATCTTATAACTCAGATACTTACCTAAATTAGAGCAGCTTGCTTCACTCAACTTAGCCAAAACTGGTAGGGTTTACTGTATATTATTTAAAAATAGCTAGTATCATCAGTTCTCGCTTGCCTTTAATTTGACCATTAATGTTACTATCAACAAATCTAATTTCATCTACATTAATCTGCTTTGGCTACTGCAGTTCCTCGCTGCAGCACTTTTGTGGAGATGTGAAAAGCGGCAACCTTAAGAAATGTTTGCACTGCTAATTACAAAAAATAGACTCTTTCCCTGAGATGGGAACACCTAATAGTTTCTGTGTAGTATCTGGCATTCTTGATCATGAAAGACAAAACCAGAACAAAGGATCCCTCAGTGTCCCTAAAACATCTTAGAAACCATGAGAAAACCAGGAGACTTAAAACAGTGAAGAAAAAGAAAAATTTCATTAAAAAAGTAGTTGTCTTGTAAAATACTAGAAAGAAAACATCGTGACCTCACAGTATCTGAAAAAGGCTCCAGCCCTTTCTGTCATTTGAACAGAACTGTAAAATATGCTTTTATTTGCAGTGCTGCCTAGCAGAAAAGGAGACATTTGCACTGGTATGTTTCATGAGAAAAAGAGACCAAAAGACATAAAATGGTTTCTTCGCTGGCCTGCTAAAAATAGGTGAAAAGTAATTCCATGAAAGCAGTAAGTTGTGCATTCAGTGGGCTATCTTTATCTCTGTATAACTGGAGGACGCTTGCTGTGGCTGACCCCTTCTTCACATTATTGCCTCGCTCTGACTCCTCAATCCTAAGATAGGGGAGCAACCCAGAGAGAGTAACCTTATTAGATTCAGATGGAACTGACCACTAACATCGCATGACCTCTGCTGCCAGGAGTCAGCATCCTACAACTTTCACTGCTTCTTTACCAAAACAACACAAAAACCCAGAGATGCGGTTTCATTTAAAAACTTTAAAATATTCACAAAAACATCATAACTTGCCAACATTGGCCTTCCCTTCATTCTGTTGCAATAGAACAAATAAAAGAAATGATGGTTTTTTAAAAGATATTATTTTTCTTCAAAAATGCATTTAGCAGATATTGGCTTTGCTTTTTTAGACATAAAAGATTTATAACCAGAAAAAAAGGGTGAGATTAAAAATGAGAGGTACTTAGGTTTGTATACTTATGATTGATAACCATTTTTTGAGCTATTTAAAGTCTGTTCTTGCATCAGAAAAATTAAACATTTATGTTATGCTATTTTCCAAATATTAACAAAAAAGTGAAAATAATTCACATAAACAAACAACATTTCCAGCCTGGAAGAAACATTATTTCCTTGGAAAACAAAGTCTTATAGAGGTTAAGACTAGCCCTTTCCTAAGTATGAACTAGAGAAAATGACCAAAATGAATAAATTTGCATACTATTTATAAAGTAAAAAAATATAAATAAAATTTTTATATATTTTATATTTTATTTGAAATTCCAAACATACCTTCTCTATATTTTTATTTTTGGTTTTTGTTATTTGGTTATTTTTATGTAGCAAATTTTCACATCTGCTTTTTACTATTTCAGCTGCTTCTTGCAACTTTTGTACCTGAAAATAAAGTCTATTATTAGAGATACAACTTTGTACCTGAAAATAAAGTCTGTTATTAGAGAAACATATTATTTTTAGAATCATGAGATAAAAATCTAAAATTTAAAATTTCATTTTAAACAAGTCATTATTTTCCTATCAATATCCTCGATTGGTTCATCTAATGTTATTCCTTCTTTAAATACGGAATCACTCAGTGGTCTACTCTAACCCACAATCTTTGTCTGATTTACCTGTCTTCTCTCATCAATACTTCTAAACTCTCCAGTTGAGCTTTGAAGACTACAAAGGTTTCATTTGCAGATCAATGTCACTTCAAAGAACCAGTCTCTGGTCCAAACTAGCTTCCATTTAAATTATTTTTCCCACCAAATCAAAATCTGATTAAAAAAAAAAAAAAAGATTCTAGGCCCTGCACCCAGAATATGGTCACTCAACAACAATATTCCTGCTGAGGGATTAAACACAAATAACCAGCTGGAAGACCCTGATGAAGAAGAGGTCCCACAGTCCCCCACAATCTCCATTCCTACCTCAGACTTGGATGACTGAAATACTCTAACTGGAGGTCTCAACTCTAATTTTCCCATCTAATCCATCGAGATGCAGCCCCTTTCTACTGCCCACACTTTGCTCCCCTTAAGCTTTCATCCTTAGTTCATTCTTTTTTTTTTTTTTTTTCTGGAGATGGAGTCTTGCTCTGTCGCCCAGTCTGGGAGCACACTGGTACAGTCTCGGCTCACTGCAACCTCCACCTCCTGGATTCAAGCAATTATCCTGCCTCAGCCTCCTGAGTAGCTGAGACTACAGGTGTGTGTCACCACACCTGCCTAATTTTTGTATTTTTAGTAGAGACAGGGTTTCACCATAGTGGTCAGGCTAGTCTCAAACTCCTGACTTCAAGTGATCCGCCCACCTCAGCCTCTCAGTGAATTACAGGTGTGAGCTACTATGCCCAGCCAGTTCATTATTCTTTAATTCAAACTTTCTCTGACCAGTGTGTTACCCATCATGCAAGGACCTGCATAAGTCCCATCTTTCTCATGAAGTTTTTTCTTGAATACTACATTTCCAAAAAATAAAGGTTTTTCTACAAATTACCATTGAAAACATGGTCTATTTCATATATATTGTCACATGTTCTTTTCTTGGCATTTCATGTGAATAAATCTGAATTATACTTTATTTCCTGAGAAAGGAGGCATAATGAACTTTAATGACCCTAGAAAGGAGTCATTAATCTAAATCAATACCATTAAATATACAGGATGACAGACAAATATAGCCAAGATTAACAAGAATACATTAGAGGTCACATTATACCTATGTAATTAATATTAAATCTACTTTTAGGAATATCCACTATATCCATATGCAGTGTTGGAATCAGTAATTGGCAGAATCATCTATTTACAAAGATGTGTGGGACCTTAAGAAATATTTGAGTCATACCATATTACAACCCACAATGATAGCCCCAACTCTCTTCAGTTCTGTTTATTTAGATTGCAAACAAATAGTGTTTTAAATTGTCTACCAATTTTAGTAAGCACTAAAATAAATGCAGTAGTCACCTGAGTTTTATACATTTCAACAAGGGTTTTCTGGTTTTTTTCTACTTCTTGCAATTCTAAGAGTTCATTTTCAACAGAAACAACTTCATCCTTCAAAGCAGCAAGTGTAGTCTAGCAAAAAAGATATAGATTTTATAAGTCATTAGAATATATTTATACTTCAGTGCTACAGAATTATAAAAACATAACTCATGTATTAACAAAGTTGATAATTATTTCTGATTGCATGTAATTACCATCTAAAATTTAGGAATTTCACAAAGTTAGTGACTAATACTTATGAACAACCTTCTTAAGATTTACACAGGACATATGATTTTTAAAACTTTTTAAATTTACTGACAAAAAAACTTGGAAATGTTCCTAGATATGAAAAATCAATAGAATATAGAGGTTACTGGAAAAGAAAAATACAGAAAAATCATACTTAGTACATGATAAAGGTTAGATTTTTAAATCAATGGAGGAAACATGGACAACTAAATAAATGGCAATAAAATAACTGTTTATTAGGAAAAAAAATAGGTTGACTACCTGCCTCAGTCCAACTAAAGAAGCATCAAATGAATTAAATAAAAACTTTAAAAATTTTCAAAGACAATTCAGGTAAAACTGTATTTCATTTCAGGATAGCAAAAGTCCTAAAGAGCATAAAATTAAAAGAAGATATGGAGAAATGTAAAAGTCTGAGATATTATCTTCCTTGCAAGCTTACTAGTTAGCCTACTGCAATTTCATGGATGCTATAACAGAAAGTACAAGATTCCTAGGTCAGAGACAGGGGACTTATTACTCATAGCAATAAGAGTAGCAAGACTGTCAGCATTTGTATCAGTTTCCTGAGCCCCAATTCCCACAGAGCAACCCAAACAGGCCAGGTGGCAACTGCATATGCAGTCAAATGCATTGCAAAAGAATGAACCTGAGTTTAGGGAACCCAAATTTCTTATAGCAGGCAGTGAGCATGCCTGCCCATACTCCTAAGGGAGACACAGTTATCATATTCCAAGGATATCTACTATGCAAACATCCTTGAAAAGACAGTCTACATGGACAATGTCTTTGATTACAAGATGTGCAGAGCTGTGAGAGCACTCTCAAGAGAAGTCATTTAAAAAAATGTGTGCGCGTGTATCTCTCTCCAAAATTTCATAGCTTTTCAATACAGTTTAAATGGCAAACAAAATATGAAAAAATATTAGCAAATGACAAATTTGATGCCTTGTCAAATAACATTAGTCATTACAAAAATAAAACAAATATAACATTAATATCCTTAATATACAGTTATTATATATTAATTAGGACAAAAGACAACTATAAAAAATGAGCAATTAATTCAAAAAGGCAGAAATGTGACTGATTGATGAATACATGAACCAGCATGTTCATTAGTTTTTATGCTGTAGGCACTGAAGGTTCTATTAGTGAACAAAACAGACGAAATTCCCTTCCTCCATGAAACTTACATACTGGAGGGACAGACAGACCAAAAATAAGAATAAGCAGTAAAATAAATCAAATACAAAAGCAGCTAGGAATGACATGTGGGGGAAGGCCTCCTGAGAAAGAGACTTTTGAGTAAAACTGATAGGAAGAGTGTCTCTTTAAGAGAAAAAGGCAACAGCGGCAGGAGGCCTAGCAAGTTAGGGGAAAACAACAAGAAAGCCAGTGAGGTAGAAATAGAGAAGAAATGGGAAGAATGGAAGGAGATGAGAGTAGAAGAAGAAGAGAGGTAATAGAAAATGAGATGGTATAATGACTTGTAGGTATTTATGAACCAAGATATCTCTGAGGGGTTCGGAGCAGGGCAGTGACATGATCTGACTACATTTTTACAGGAACAACTCTACTGCTATACTGAATGCTGCCTGCAGGGGCCAGGGCTGAAGCAAGGAGAATGATCATGAGGTCACAGTAACAATGAGAGATGATGGAGGCTTGAATCGGGATAATGACAGTGCTGCTGGTGAGAAGTCGTCAAATTCTGAATATACTTGAGGTAGATTTGATGACAGACTGGAAGCAGCGTATGAGAAAAATGATGATTTTCCATTAATTGGGATGAGGAAAACTGTAGTATTTACTATTTTGGGAAATATCAAGAGCTCCATTTTGGATACGACAACTTTGAGACATCTATTAAATATCGAAGTGGAGATGTCAATCAGGCAGCAGAATATACGTCTGGAATTCAGGGACAAGGTCTAGATTAGAGGTATAAATTTGAAAGCCTTGAGCACATAGATGGTATGTAAAGCCACAAAAATAAATGAGATTATTTATAAAATTTGGAGAGATTTGTTTTAAAATTAGTACTTTTAATTACCTGGTACTAGAAAATGTATAGGGACTGTTTTACTTATAGTAGACACATTTATGATAGGTAATTTGGAAATACAGAACAATATTAAAAATGAGTCTCTCTTTTGACCAAACAATTAAATATATCCTAAGAAAACAGATAAGCAAAAAAGACTCAACGAAACTATGTTTTTATTTGCAATAGTAAAAAAGCTATTGGAAGTAGCATATATATCACACATAAAATAAAAAAATTATATATATGCTAAAATATTAATTCCAGTTATCTTTCAGTTGTGAGATTATGGGCGATTTAAATTTTTTTCCTTTTGTGTTTTTCTGTTTTTCTAACTTTCTGTAAGAAACAAATACAACTTTTTAACCTTCCAAATAAACTTTCTGTTGTGTCTAATAGAGGAGGTTACTGGGCCTTGGAAGCAGCATTAACAGTTTATTTTTCATTTGCAACTTTAAAATCTAAAACTATTCTAAAGTAATTAAAAGTAATAAAACACAAACATCTAGGCTGCAAAAAAACTGCATTTACACTGCAAATAACATATGCCAAACTTATTTAAATGTTTTCCTTAAAAATCCAGAAAATAATGCATTAAAAATACATTTCTTAATTATTAATAGAATACGCTAAGATACAAACTTTAACTCAATGACTTTTATAGTCTATATAATTTAAAATTAATTCATAATTTTATCAAAAACTAGTTTAAAATATCTTTCTAATCCTTTCTCTATGAAGGATTTCAAGAAAATAAGAAAATAAACATAATAAAATTGCTTCCTCTTTCCAAATAGAGTAATTTAAGCATTCACTCAATAAATATCCCTTAAGAGTATATGTCACACCTTCCCTGGGCAACCTGTATGTACACAAAGATAGGAGTTTACAAGGAGAGATTCATTGAGAAGACTTTGGGAGGAAGTAGCATTTGAGCTAAACTTTAAAGGAAAGGTAGGATTTAGATACTGAGAAAAATGGCATTCCAAAGTGTAAGAATAGGAGAACTATAGGAGTAGATGCAGAAAACATAAAACGAGTATTCATATTTGGCTAGAGCTCAGAATAACTAGAAGACGACATTCCCTAGTCTCCCTTGCAGCTAGGCGGGGGTCACGTGCCTAAATAAGTAAGAGAGTCAAGTCATATGGGAATTTTGAGAAGGCTCCTTAAAGGGGAGGAAATTTTTTAAAAAGGGAGGTAATGCATCCTTTTTTCCTCCATCCTGTTGCTTGAAACTTGACTATAATGGCTGAAGCTCCAGCCTCTATTCTAGATCAAAAGAATGAGGGTCATACCTAGGGATGGCAGAACAGAAAGTTAAAAAGCTAAAGAGCCACATCAGTTTTGAAGTGCCAACTCTGTACTACTTCTACATAATAAACATATATCTCTATCTTACTTAAGCCATATAATTTGGATTTTCTGTTATATATGGTGAAGCTGAATCTTAATATAAGGCTTGCTGAAATATAAAAGAAACTTCCCTAGTGTTGCTAGTGTATTTTGTTTTCTGGAATTTTCCAATACAATTTCTGGCAAACTTTATATAACTTAAAATGTGAGACAAATCAAATTTCTAATTATAAAATATGAACAAGATTGTGTCTAGTATTTTTTTCCTGTCTTCTTTCAAATTCTATTCTGGCTCTGCCAGTAAACTAGTTGTATGATCTTGGGCATGTTATTTAATCTCTCTGAGTTTCAATGTATTCATCCATAATTAAGAAAAGCATCTTTATGATAGCATTGACATGAGAATTAGAAGTAAAAAAAATGTAAAGTACTTATCAAGTGCCTCCTACATTAATGGTAATTGATAGATAGTAGCCATTATGGTTGCTACTCTCCAGAGTCATTTATTAAATGACTGATGTATTCGAGGCACAGTACTAGGCACTAGAAGTAATGGGAGGATAAAATGATCCCTGGCCCTGGTATGTGGAGGATGGAGGGAAAAACAGCCCTCAGAGGGAGAAAAATTATACAAACAAGTAAGTGTAATGAAGTTCTACCTGCAAAATTAATATAGAGAGAATAAAACAGGGTGAAAAATGGGAAGATTAGTAATGTGCCCTATTACAGAGAATTTCCTAGGTTTAAGGAGTCTTCTGCTGGAAAACTAACCACATGTTAAAATCTCCATTCATTCCCAAGACCAAATGACCAAACTAATATAAAGCAAAAGGAATGTTTATAAGTCAACTTAATAAAAATAACAGACCAGGGGCTGTCAAAGGAAAAAATATTTTAATGCTTCTGGAAAACTGATGACTGACTAATGAATCAGGAATGGATTTAGGCAAGGAGGAAGTTCATCTACCTGAAGAATCTAGAGAGGCACAGGGCTAAGGGCAAGAGTGAGACCTGGGTTTGAAAAGGATTAATTCGGGGGCGGAGCAAGATGGCAGATAGGAACAGCTCCAGTCTCCAACTCCCAGCGCGAGCGACACAGAAGACCGGTGATTTCTGCATTTTCAACTGAGGTACTGGGTTCATCTCACTGGGGAGTGCCGGACGATCGGTGCTGGTCACAGCCTGCTGCAGACCCACCAGCGAGAGCTGAAGCAGGGCGAGGCATGCCTCACCTGGGAAGCGCAAGGGGAAGGGAATCCCTTTTCCTAGCCAGGGGAACTGAGGACACACACAACACCTGGAAAATCGGGTAACTTCCACCCCAATACTGCGCTTTAAGCGAACAGGCACACCAGGAGATCATATCCCAACACCTGGCCGGGAGGGTCCCACACCCACGGAGCCTCCCTCAATTGCTAGCACAGCAGTCTGTGAT